GTTAGGATGGTCTTTTTCCAAGTTGGCCTGGAGAACACATTTTGAAAGGTGGACTCGTCAGACCACAGCACACGTTTCCACTTTTAGTCTATCTCAGGAGAGCTTTAGCCCAGAGAAGTCGGCGGAGTTTCTGGATGTCGTTGATTTATGGCTTCTGCTTTGCATAGTAGAGTCTTAACTTGCATTTGTAGATGCAGCTTTGGACTGTGTTTGCTGAAAAGAGTTTTCCGAGGTATTCCCAAGCCCATGTGGTTATATTCTTTACAGAAACATGTTGGTTTTTAATGCACTGCCATCTGAGGGATCAAAGGTTAACACTGGTTTTCAGCCTTGCCCTTTACTCACAGGGATTCTCTGAATCTTTCAATAATGCGATGGGTAGTAGATGGTGAAATCTCTAAATTCCTGGCAAGTGTAACAAGAAACGTTGTTCTTAAACTGTGGTGACTGATCCTTTCGTGAATGCTTACACCCAATCATGATGGTATCACCTGTTACCTGTTCACTAGTGGGATGTTCCAAAACAGGTGTTTTTTAAACATTCCACAAACTTACATTCACAAAATTTACAGAAGTCTTGCATTGCCCCTGCCCCAACTTTTTTTGAAATGTGTTGCAGGCTTTAAATTTAAAATTAGCGTACAGTTACAAAAATTAAATACCTGTAAAAGACAGTTTAGAAATCACTGCTTTTGGTTTTTATTTGCCTTTTCACCTTCTGTCCCAACCTTTTTGGAAATGATCGAACCTACTTTCATCTATTTTAGCGATTTCGGTTTTGAAATAACTCGGGATGCGGCGGCACAACACCACCATAAACACAGAACCAATCAGCCAATAGTGACGTCATTGCATCATCTCATCGAGTGGTTCTGCCTTCCTGAGCGCAGTTAGTTAACCGTTTCGAGGAAACTGCCGAGAACGGTTTGTAAGCTTTACGTGCCGGACCGTTTCCGTGTGGAACGGTTACTCTCCGTGCTCAGTGGAAAAGAGGCCTATGTAAATTTGATTTTCGCCCAAACCGTCGCTTTAGCACAGTCTGATTCCATTGCCCAGAGGATTAAGTGGCCGAGTAGTTTCGGTCAGTTTAGGTACGTGAACATTCATGAGAGATTTAAACTACTTACGCAGATCAAGCAGCATCCCTTATTGTGGAATTAAACTGAGTCACTACCGATTTGTTGTGCCTCTGCTGACATGCTGATCAAACGAACGCACATACATACATGCTCTCTTCCTCTCTCTCTCAGTCTCTCTGACTCTCTCTCTCTCTCTCTCTCTCTCTCTCTCTCTCTCTCTACATTATGCATTCTCTCTGCGCCAGCCTTCTGCTCTCCTAACAACCCTCCGCTGTTTATTGCTTCTCACTCCGAGCAGAACCTGATCTAGCTCCTCACTCTGAGTGCGAGTGTGTGTGTGTGTGTAGCATGAATATTGCATGAGCACGGCTTGGTGAGTGTGTTTGTGTGTGTGTACCTGTGGCTCTCAGTCCATCTCATATAATGACTGCTGACTGTAATTTGACAAATGTAAACCCCACAATTAGCCCCAGCGTCTGCCTCTTTCTTCCTCTCTCTCTGTTTCTACCTAATGATAGTGTTTTTGGCTGAAGACACGGAGCGCATTAACCTGCACTCGGTGACACTGAAAATGTGTACGCTGGGCAAGAAAAAGACAGCGATAATTATTGAAAACATTTTTTCGTTGTTGATAGGGTTTGAAGTAATAAAATGATTATGCCGTCTATTTCTGGTGTGGTTGATGTTATGCCCATATAAGGAAGTCCAGGTCTAAGCTGTTTTTCTCTATGAGAAAAATGAATGGCATTTTTGAAAACCGTCATGTCCTGTTTTTAAAAAATGTTCCAAATTTGACCCATTTTGTTCTATAAACATTTCCCACAACTGTTGCTGGACCCTGTGAATTATGAGGCTGTTTAGCGGTCTAAATACAAATACAAAAAGCTGCAAGCTAACACCTCTGCACATTGAATTGATGTTGCATGAAAGTAAGGCCCAGTCCCATTTCACCCCTCACCCTGACCACTTATCCCTCAGCCCTCCGTTTTGTGCATTCACGTCTAGGGGTAGGATGTCCTGATTTTCGTCGAGATAGAGGGGTAGGGTGAGGTGTTGGGGTTACATGGCCCTCCAAACTGAGGTTTTTCACAGACACTCCAAACAGAGTGTTGTGAGAAAAAATGAAAAACCGGCAAGATGGCTGAACAAGAGACCAAAGAAACCCACAAATGTGAGAATTTTCTCTGTTAATAAATTATGATAACCACTGCATTTTCTTAGTTTAATGTCGTTTTAATGTATTATGGTCCTTTTCTTCATATCAAGCATAAAAAATCGCTAGTAGTGTGCTAACGTCTCAGTAGCTAGCTAGCTAAATTTCCCATTCCACCTTAAATACTCCAGCAGTTCTGACACCTGAAGCGCCAGAATGTAACTGCTGCTCCATTTGAGGTGGAACAGTAAAATCTGAAAAAGAAGCTGGTGAATATCTGACTTCAGCTTCATATCACTGTAGAATTAGGGGTGGGCGATAATAAATAATTGCCCCCTCTTTGAAGTCATATGATGCCCTAAATGTAACTAAAGCCCAGCAGTGAGGAGCTGAACTTTACCCTCCTCTGCTGTCACTGCAGACTGGCAGGGTCGCCTACAGAGCAGCGCTAGTAGCTGTTAATGAAGTAATGCTCTTTTTATTTGAGGGTCCCATTTCATAGGGGAGATTTCAACCACTACCCCTTGTAACTCAGTTCCAAGGGGCAAGATGACACTCAAAAACAAGGGGTAGGGGTAAAAAAAAAAAATGGGATTGGGCCTAAGTCTACGATTAAACTTAAACACTATTATATACCAACACCGTCAACTCGAATTGTAGGCTACTGCTGCCAAAATCATGTAATCAGCATGCTTGATATATTTTGCAGCTCTACATGGGGGTATTTTGGTGAGGCTGCCTTTGGTGAGGTCTAATATCAGTTCAGTGTGTAACAGTGATGGCTTGTATGTAGCAACATTCATATTTCGACGCTTTACAGACCTCGTAATTCAGAAGGTATAGTGATGTTCATAGGAAAAAGGTAAGTTTTGCAAAACATATGAAGTTTAGAGTGTTTTAGTTTATCACAAGGAAAAAAACATAATTTATTTTTCTATAGAGAAAAAAAAACACTTAGACCTGGAGTTCCTTACTATACAATGACCCAACTTCAGTCGTCTATTATCAGCAAAGACTTAAACTTTGAAGAGTTGTTACTATGGTACACTAGGTGGCGATATGCGCTTAGTGTCATTCACTAGATAAAGTAAAAGAGCCCTAGCTGTTCACTCACACCTGCACAAACCAGTGGGACAATATTTCCTCCTTATCACCTTTATTAATTTGTATAAAAATTCACACTTATTTCAAATTTGATGCCTGCAACACATTCCAAAAAAGTTGGGATGGGGCAATGTAAGACTGGGAAGTTTGTGGAATGATAAATACCTGTTTTGGAACTTTCCACAGGTAAACAGGTGAATAGGTAACAGGTGACCTTCCACCCCTCAGACGGCACTGCATTAAAAACAGACGTGCTTTTGTAATGAAAGGAACCACTTGGGCTCAGAGATACTTCGGAAAACCCTTGTCAGTAAACAGTTTGTTGCTGCAAGTTAAGCTGCATATCAACAACATCCAGAAACGCTGCCGATTTCTCTGGGCTGAAGCTCATCTGAGATGGCCTGACGCAAAGTGGAAATGAGTCCAACTTTCAAAGTGCCTGTCATGGTATGGGGTGTTTGTGCCACTGGCATGCACATCTGTAAATACATATTAAATATATAAATATTATTAATAGTAAATAAATATTAAATATTATTATTCTTCTCAGTCGTCTTATTCTAAAATCTTCATTTTCTATCCTGACTAGTGATTTTGTATGTTACACCACATCACACTGTTTTCTTCAGGTTTTAAAATACTACTGAGCAGCAGTTAGAAATGCACCTAGTGATTACGGTGCTTGCAAGGTCTTTATCACTATTATTCTTTTTTTCTTCCTTTTCTTCTTTTTCTTCTTTTTCTTCTCCTAATGCACTTAATACAGCTTGGGCTGCCTAACAGACTCCGTTCAAACACCGTACAGATGATTTCAGTGAGACATGCTGTTTTTTATTTAGATAACTTTTACACTTTTTACATATTTTAGATCAAAATTATTTTCCCATACATTTGTGGGGTGGAATCTTCCACAGCTGATGATGTCATAATGTGCTTGAAGCTGATTGGCTGAGTGCTGCTCTCTCTTTCAGGCTTTGTATGGCTTTATAAGCTCGTCTTCTATCTTTCTTTCTCTTTCTCTCTTTTTTCGTTCTTGTTTTTCTTTTTCCTCTCCTCTCTTTTTCTTTCTTTTTCTCTTTTTTCTTTCTCTTTCTTTCTTGTTTCTCTTCCATTCTTTCTTTTCCTGTTCTTTTGTTTTGCTTTTTTCGTTTTTCAGTTTGAATTCAGATCATTCTTTTTTTTCTTCCTGCCTTCGTTCTTTATTTCTTTTCTTCTTACTTTCTTTCTAATTCTTACTTTTGTTTTCTTCTTTCCTTCCTTTTTTTGTTTCTTTTCTGTCTTTTTCTTCCTTTGGTCCATCCTTCCTTTCTGTCTTTGTTCATTTGTCCTTTCTTTCTTATTTCTTCTTTTTCTCCCTACCCTCCTATCTTTTTTCTTTCTTTCTTTCTTTGCTGTTTTGTTGCTTTTGAATATTTTCTTGCCTTGCAGGCTCTGTGTTTCCTTCAGGAAGTGCAAATCTAGTTATCAATAGATATTGATTTAAAAATATATTGTGATGAGGTTTTTGGCCGGTCCTATGCTTTACCATCTCTCTCTCTCTCTCTCTCTCTCTCTCTCTCTCTCTCTTGATCTGTACATCAATGATCTCCCATGTTCTGTTTCTCTCACTGGCTCCCTCTCTCTCCCTCTCTCTCTCTCTTTCTCTCCCTCTCTCTCTCTTTCAGCTATGACCGCTCTCTCTCTCAGCGTCCTCCTCCTCTCTCGCTCGCCATCCCTCGCTCTCTGGCCCAGGAGGACAGCAGGCAGACACTTCACAGCACCCCCTCCTTCCCTGACAGAGAGAGGTACAGAGACTGTGCGTGTGCGTGTGTGTGTGTGTGTGTGTGTGTGTGTGTGTGTGTGTGTGTGTGTGTGTGTGTGTGTGTGGATGCCAGCGCTGATTTGTTGTATATGTGTGTGTGTGGACTGAAGTGTGTGTGCATTACAGAGGACACAAGCATACGTGCGAAAAAAAGAACTAAAAATGAAACGAAACGCATCGTTTATGCTTTCAAATTGGTTTGCATTTATTTATTTAGAATGTCTGCACATGAATATGCGCATATTTCTGTTTTCAGTGGCAGCAGATTTGGCTGCCCATACTGAACAGCAGAGAGAGAGAGAGAGAGAGAGAAGGAGAAAAGAGAAGAGAAAGGAGAGCTGAGAGAGAGAGAGAGAGAGAGAAGGAGAAAAGAGAAGAGAAAGGAGAGCTGAGAGAGAGAGAGAGAGAGAGAGAGAGAGAGAAGGGGCAGAAACAGGACAAAGAGAGAATGAAAAGGGGAGCGGGAGAAAAATAGATAGAGAGGGGACAGAGGCAGGAGAGAGAGTAAAACGAGAGAGATACAGATAAAAGTGAGAGAGGAGATAGGAGAGAGAGGGAAAACAGGAGCGAGACAGGAAAGGGAGGGAGTTGCAGAGACAGAAGATAGAATGGAGGGGTTTACATAGAACAGAAAAAGAAAGAAAACAATAAAAGCTAACATTAGAGAGAGAGAGGAGAGAAAGGGAGAGGAGAGAGAGACCAGAGGGGCAGAAACAGGAGAAAGAGGAGAGGGAGAGAAAGAGATAAAGAGAGGACAGAGGCAGGAGAGAGAGTGAAACGAGAGAGAGAAATAGAGAAAAGAGAAGAGAGAAAGATGAGAGTAGAAGAAGACAGAAAGAGAGAGGGTGAGAGGAGAGAGAAAAGAGAAGAGAGATAGAGAGAAATGTAGAGGGCGAGAGAGAGAGAAAAGAGAAGAGAGATAGAGAGAAATGTAGAGGGCGAGAGAGAGAGAAAGGGAGAGGAGAAAGAGAGAGCAAAAGGGAGAGAAAAAAGAAGAGAGAAAGAGATGAGAATAGAGGGAGAGAGAAAGAGAGAACGAAAGGGAGAGGAGAGAGAGAGAGAGAGCAGAAGGGAGAGAAAACAGAAGTGAGAGAGAGAGAGAGAGAGAGATGAGAGGGGCAGAAACCAAACAAAATAAGAATGAAAAGAGGAGAGAGAAAGAGGGGGACAGAGGCAGTAGAGAGAGTGAAACGAGAGAAAGAAACACAGAAGCGAGAGAAACAGAAAGAAAAAAAAAGAAAAAAGGGGGCGAGAGATAAAGAGAGGGAGCCAGAAGAGAGAGGGGTGCACCAACAGAAGATACAATGGGGGGGGGGGCCCAGACAGAAAAGAGAAAGAAAGAAAGAAATAAAATAAAAGCTAACATGAGAGAAAGAGGAAGACAAAAAAACAAAGGGGCAAGAGAGAGCCAGAACAAAGGAGAGAGAAAAGAGAGTGAGGGAAAAATAGAAAGTACAAAGAAAAAATTGTATATTGCAATTTTATTTTTTTGTGATAGTATATTATACATCATATATTATATTATAGAACAATATTCTTTGTGAAGCTTTGGCAATACAGTAGTATTTTGGCCATCCCAGTGAAGAACCTCAAACTGAATTGATGAAAGAAAGAGAGAGAAAGAAAGAAGAGAGAGACAAAGACCGGAGAGAGAGTCATTATTATTATTGTTATTTATCGTTGTTGTTGTTGTTGTTGTTGTTAACTCTACCTCGGCTCTTTCTCTGTCTCTGAATATGTTCAGCAACCAATTCATTCCCTCTCTGTTCGCTGCTGCTGCTGGATTAGATACAGTCACACCAATAAAGCCTGAATCACACTGAACTGAACTGAATTGACGAGAGAGAGAGAGAGAGAGAGAAAGAGAGACAGGAGAGAGTGAGAGGACGGAGAGAGACAGGAGAGAGTGAGAGGACGGAGAGAGACAGGAGAGAGTGAGAGGATGGAGAGACACAGGAGAGAGTGAGAGGACGGAGAGAGACAGAAGAGAGTGAGAGGACGGAGAGAGACAGGAGAGAGTGAGAGGATGGAGAGACACAGGAGAGAGTGAGAGGACGGAGAGATGAGAGAGAGTAAAAATGAGAAAAAGAGGCTGGCAAAGAAAAAATGAAGAGGGAAATGAAAGAGATGGACAGGAGAGAAAGAAATAGAGTGAGAGATCAATAGAGAGACAGGTGAGACAGGAAGAGAAAAGGTGAGACAGAAAAAGAAAGTGAAAGAGAGAAAGATAGAGACATTAAAAAATGGTGTAAGAGAGAGAGCGACACAAGAAAGAGACGAGAGAGAGAGGGACGTAGAGAGCAGAGAAAGAAAGGGAAGTTGAGAAAGAGAGAGAGAGAGAAAGAAAGAAAGAAAGAAGTGGTGAGAGAAGAGAGGACAGAGAAAGGAAAGAAAGAAAAAGAAAAAAGAAAGTGGTGAGAGAGAAGACAGGAGAGAAAGAAAGAAAAGGAAAGAAAGAAAGAACGAAAGAAAGAAGTGGTGAGCAAAGAGAGGATACAGACAGGAGAGAAAGAAAGAAAAGGAAAGAAAGAAAGAACGTAAGAAAGAAGTGGTGAGCAAAGAGAGGATACAGACAGGAGAGAAAGAAAGAAAGAAAGAAGTGGTGGGCAAAGAGAGGATAGACACGACAGAAAGAAAGAAGTGGTGAGAGAGAAGAGAAAAGGACAGAGACAGGAAAGAAAGAAAGAAAGAAAGTGATGAGAGAGAAGATAGAAGGATAGAGACAGTAGACAAAGAAAGAAGGAAAGAAAGAAAGTGATGAGAGAAAATAGAATGACAGACAGGAGAGAAAGAAAGAACGAAAGAAAGAAAGAAAGAAGTGGTGAGCAAAGAGAGGATAGAGACAGGAGAGAAAGAAAGAAAGAAAAAGAAAGAAAGAAGTGGTGAGAGAGAAGATAGAAGGATAGAGACAGGAGAGAAAGAAGGAAGGAAAGAAAGAGTGATGAGTAAAGATAGAATGACAGGAGAGAAAGAAAGAAGGAAAGAAAAAGAAAGAAGTGGTGAGCGAAGAGAGGATAGAGACAGGAGAGAAAGAAAGAACGAAAGAAAGAAAGCGGTGAGCGAAGAGAGGATAGAGACAGGAGAGATAGAACGAAAGAAGTGGTGAGAGAGAAGATAAAAGGAAAGAGACAGGAGAGAAAGAAAGAAGGAAAGAAAGAGTGATGAGAGAAGATAGAATGACAGACAGGAGAGAAAGAAAAAGAAAGAAAGAAAGAAGTGGTGAGCGAAGAGAGGACAGAAACAGGAGAGAAAGAAAGAACGAAAGAAAGAAAGTGGTGAGCGAAGAGAGGACAGAGACAGGAGAGAAAGAAAGAAAGAAAGAAAGAAAGAAGGGATGAGTGAAGAGAGAAGGACAGAGGAGAGAAGGAAAGCTGTAGAGGGAGAAACAGAGAGTGAGCCGGTGTGAAATCTCCCTCTTTCTCCAGTCGGGGGGATTTTAAAGTTAATCTCACGCAGGATAAACTCAGCTTTCCTCTGTCTTTTTTCCATTTTCTCTTCTTCTGTCGTTCTCTGTATGCAGGATTCCGGTGGTCAACCTCTGAGGAGCTGACCTCGCCGAGCTTTGTGACCATTTCCTCCAGGCATGGAGGAAACCGAAGGCCGCATGTGTGAACGATTTCGCAGACACGTGAACACACACACACAGACGGACACGAGAGGAGGTGAACGGAGGAGTGTGACTGAACATAAGGGCGTGTACATGTTTGCTCAATGGACAGCCACATGGACAGATGCAGAGATGGAAGGACAGCGTGTAATTTAAACCCAGAGGTCCAGGCCTGTAAATCTCTGACCTCACAATGATTCACAATTCGATTTAGCAAATGATTCAGTGCTTCATAAAATCTCAGATTTCACCACAATCAGATTCAATTCAGTTTAGCCAACAATTCAGTGCTTTATGAAATCTCACGTTTCACAATTTGATTCTGTTTGATTTAGTAAATGAATCCGTGCTTTATAGCGTCTCAGAATTCACCACGATTCAGTTCAATTTAGCAAACGATTCAGTGTTTTTTGAAATCTCACATTTCACAACTATTCAGTTCAGTTTGATTTGGCAAATGATTCAATGATTCATAAATGATTCAGTGCTTTATACCACAATTAGATTCAATTCGATTTAGCAAACCATTCAGTACTTCATGGAAACTGACATTTCACCACAATTCGATTAAACTCTTTATGTGCTTTATGAAATTTCAGATTTCATCCTAATTTGATTCAGTTGAATTTAGCAAGCTATTCGCTGCTTCATGAGATCTTAGATTTCACGATTCGGTTGAATTAGATTTAGCAAAAATTCTTTAGTGCTTTTTGAAATCTTAGATTTCACCATAATTTGATTCAGTTTGAAATATCATTTGATTCAGTGCTTCATGGAATCTCAGATTTCACCACAAATCAATTTGATTTGATTTAGCAAATGATTCAGTGCTTTATGAAATCTCAGAGTTCACCACAATTGGATTCAGTTCGATTTGGCAAACTATTCAGTGATATAGAGTTCTCTGATTTCATGATAGTTCAACTCCAAAGATTTAACAAACGAGTCATTGCTTTTTGAAATCTCAGATTTCACCACGATTCGATTAGGTTCAGTTTGATTTAGCCAACCACTAATCGATTCAATCTGATTTAACAAAGGATTCAGTGCTTTATGAAATCCTAGAGTTCACCACAATTGGATTCAGTTCAATTTAGCAAACTATTCAGTGTTGCATGAAATTTCAGATTTCACCAAGGTTCGTTTAGATTCAATTTGATTGAGCCATCGATTCAGTGCTTTTTGAATTGTCAGATTTCATCACAGTTTGATTCAGTCCGATTTAGCATAGGATTAATTGCTTTATTAAATATCAGATTTCACAATGATTTGATTCGATTTTGGATTTGATTCTTCTGGTACAGTTCAGAATCCGTTTTTTTAAAACACAATGAATACACAAACGTAACTAGAGATACTGTTTACACATTGTTATAGATTATAGGATTATAGACAATAAAATCAGTGCACAATTTTTGTGTATTTTATTTTGTAGAACTTTATTGAGCATTATCATAAATTCATTATAATGGATTCTAAATGAGCGCAGTGGAAGCAGCACCTCCAGTCTGATGTATTTTTACACTCCTGCCACTTTGAAATGTTTTTCGGATGCATTTGCGCCTCTCCGTTACATTTAGGTACTCGTTGCAGCCATTCACAAAAGCTTAATGAACACTACCTGCTTGCTCGGCTGTACCGTAATCATCACTATGAGTTTACAATCTCGGAGATATTAGTGTTCGGTTCCTTCTGTGGTTGCTCGTGTGTTCTGTTTGTTAAACACTACTGTGTAGCATTTATTAAGGCTCGATGAATGACTGCATCTTGGGCAGAGATAAATGTAGCCTATTTTTTTCTTAAGGTTCTGTATCTAGACTGTTCTGTTTTATATAGCTGTGTCACCCTTGGCAACAGCAAATGTGCTGATGTTTACCACTACAGAAACCCCATAAACTTGACGCTAGGAACACTTTCTGTAATTACTTTACACAAGTCTAATGCTGTTTTTTTTTCATGATTTTGTAATCGTGGATGCACGTCGGCAAACGTACCCTTGAAAGCTACATACTGTTCAGGGTCGTGATTATGACTTCATATTGCAGACGACTACAGTATGAAATGGTATCTCGACTGTCAGGATGATGTCTGAGATGAAAGCAGAGGATGAGGAATTTGACGTTGATGGAATATTCAGCCATCCTGGAGCTTTGCAAGAAGTATTTTGCTGGCAGAATGAAGGCTTTGTAAGACATATGGAGGCCTTATACTGATGCACGGGCCTAATTTTTGTAGATAAAAATTCCGAAGTTCTTCTGGCGAAGGGGTTTACATACAATATTTGAATAGGAATTTGACTCGTGGTTGAAACGTTACCCTGCATTCACATCAGCAGGTGACAAAGCACAAGCAACCAAGGCAGCGTGTAGCTGCAATTTAGCGACAAGCAACACGGCAACGAGTGACTAACTGGATAGGAATTTTGTCAATGTAAATGAAGTACGACATGGTGTAGCGACAATCTAGATGACTGATTCCATTTCATTTTTCAGACCATGGGTGTCCATTCTTTTCCGCAAAGGGTCAGTGCGGTTGCAGGTTTTCTTTCCACACAACCAGGAGCACACCTGATTCCACTTGTTTAATCAACTGGTCAGTCTTCAAACAACTGATCATGTGAGCTCCTCCTTTGTTGGAATGAAACCTGCGTCCACACTGGCCATTTGTAGATAAGACTGGACATCCCTGCCTTAGACCAGTCCAAGACACGATTGCCCAAGGTCCCCTACTCTCTTTGTTTTTGGTAGTTTTCCTGTTGTCGTGCGAGACATAGAAGAGAAACTTATGTACCGTATAAACAAAACAGCCATACACAGTAGACGTTTGCCGCCCACAAGCGACAAGAGTGGCCTCAAATACCCACAGAGACAAACTCGGGGCAACATTAGCAACTTTTCATGTCCTAATGTGAACGTACAGTTAGGATCCAGGCAAAGATTATGGAGGGTAAGGGCAGAATGTATTAGAGCTCAAGTGCAGCTTCCCAAAAGCAACTCAGAAGATCTTAATACAGTGGTGTTACCACTTGTTAAGTTCTTGGTTTTGTGGTTGGTCTGTTTTTGGAGAAATTCCTGTCGATCTTTGTGATTCCAAATAGCAAAGTGTTCTTCAATCTGTTCTTCTGGGCACAAAAAAATCTCTAACTACTTCAACACAAAAAGGGCTAAACAGTTGGCTGACCTATATATCGTTTGGCCAGGAAAACGACCAACATTACCTGTATTTATTGCTAAATTCCAGAAGAAGCTTGTAATAACATTCATTACAATGAAGAGACCTCATCACTCACTTTTGAGAATAGTAAGGGTTTCTTGAGCACAAAACACCATCATGGTTAAAATACCGAACGTGCATCCAGACCTAACCTTGCTTATAACGTCGAACCACAGAAATCGTTGTTAACTGATGAAAAATAAACGGCCGTGTTCCGGTATACAACTTACAAATTTACTAATCAGGATCGAATAAGTACACAATACCTACCGATAAGGATAGTAACAATAGTGAGCTGGACTGTGTTGCTAATCGAAACTAGGCAGGTTGGAAATGACAACGAATTTGCCACCATGCTAAAGTTAGCTTGATTGCACAACAACAAAAAAAAAACGATGGCCCTGTCATCAGGAGGTCGCAAGTTCAGTCCCTGTTGTTGCCACAGTAATCCTTGCCCAAGAGTCCAAGACAACATAATTGTCCTTGCTCTCTACCCCAATCACTTGGCACGCTGGTAGCCAAACATAGGTGGAGTTAGCGTTAGCAATTAGCGTTCTCCTCCAAGTGTGAGGAGCGATACAATGATGTTGCGCTAGCGGCAGTTCAAAGATGTGAGATTACTTCACCTATCTCAGAGGTGGTGTGCGCTAGCGCTTGGAAGCATCAGTGTGACAGAGGGAGACGGAGTCTTGCAAACCAGACTTCTCATCAGACAGTCTGGTGTGTTTGGTTCCTTAACGTAACCGCTAAGAACAGCCCACTTTGACAGGAAAGGGACGTTTCACATGCAAAATATCCAGCCATTGACCGTTGTTTATTGTAGGGGCTTTCTAAGAAATCAGACTGTGCTGTTTACATGACCCTTAGAATAATCAGATAACTGCAGAAATCCGATTATGATTCAGATTACCGAGTGCATGTAAACCCACTCATTGATCGTTGTGGCCATGTTAGCATGCGGTAGATATCAGATTCTCCATGTGGTGGAGGCGGAGACTAGCTGGGATCTAACTAATGGGTAAAATTCTGTAAAATTCTGAAAAAGTAGCTAATCAACAGCAACCTAACAAACCCATGAAGTATGCTTTAAAGCTCCTCCACCGATGCCACAGTAATATTATTTAACATGTAAGAGTTTCCACTATTTGAGTTTAAGAAATTTGACTATTGAGACAATCATATTTGCCAGTTGACAGCTGACAATCATCAGTCAGTAAAGCACTGTTTATCGCAGTGGTCACCAACCCTCATTCTGGAGATCTGCCTTCCTGCAGAGTCTAGTTCCAACCACAATCTGCCACACCTGCTCCAGCTAATTTTTCTTCAGATATCTTTGGCTGGATCAGATCTCGAGGAGTAGGGTTGGTGACCCCTGGTTTAGAGTTGAGTTTTTGACCATATAGAAGTGTATTAGCTGATATTATTAGTTAGACAATGTTTAGTTCAGCAAGGCCTTAGTTGCTGGGGGTACAACCATAGGGAGGATGCTGCAGAGTGCATCCCAGGCCCACAAGACTGGCCCAGGCTGGTTGAAGAACATGTTCTCCTAGAGCTTTTCTAGAAAGTGGAACCCTTCTTAGAACAGAAAAGAGTCTACCCAACAGCCGTGTTCCATAATAAACAAACGTGTGGTGTTTGCCTTGCAGTTTGAGACAATTAAATAAGAGGCGCTTGGGTAAGATGCCGGTTCAACTACACGTACAAGCTGTGATCATGTGAGATTTGTGTGGTGTAGTTTTATATCATTGAAGTAGCACTGCCTTAAATAATGTCTGTGGTTCACTGTATAAAAAAAAAAAAGATCAATAAAAAAATGTATCCCTGGTGTTTTAAAAGTGGTGAATATGGATTCTGGGTATTGATTGGGACACTGCAGTGGCTTCCTGACTCCCGAAAGCATTTGGAAGACGTCATTAAAGACAGCTCTCTTCCTCAAGCTGGCTGTACAGGCAGAAACTAATAATTACCCTCCCAAATGCATCTGATGTATTTTTCATGATTTGCATGCAGCTTTCATGCAGATTGCTTGACAGTTGCATGAAGCAATCAAAAATAATCAAAGACACACGCAGCGCATTTGATTGCTCGGCTAGTTATGGAGATTAGCAGCTAGCATTTTTCATATATCGCCATGTCCATATAAAATCATTCGCAATGTGTTATTTACACTCGCATCTTACCATTTTCCCAGCGAGGTTCATCCCGCTTTCCTTTTGTGCAGTCGTTTTCATCTTTCCCGGTCCCGGAGGAATCTCCGCTCTGTGTAATATTAGGGGGTGTCAAGAGAGGAGAAAATTAATAACCCACCGACATAGATATGGATTAATGCTGGCACAAGCAGCTGTTCAAACAGCTGTCTTGTTAATGTTAAATGCTGGCTAGTTAAAGAGGAATTCCACCGATTTTTGGTTTATACCAATGGTTAAGATGTAAACCATGTCATTTGTTTGTCATGGTTTGACGTGAAATGCTCCATTATAGAGAAATTTACCAGTGTGAGTCAGTTTGTCACAGTGATGGTGAGAGGAACCAAATGTCTGATACATTGAAATTGCCATTAAAAGCAACATCACATAAAGTACTAAAGGAAATGGTCATAAATACGCTGTCTGATGCCTGTTTTACCATAGTTTTGAGAAGGTTTTGGGCCTAAAATGAGATTCACTGTCTATTACTGATCACCACTATGGAAGCAGGTGGCGCTATACACCATTAAATGCTGCCCTCCCAGCACTATAACATAGGGCTAAGAAATAATTGAAGAGATTGTCATCATCACGAGTCTTGCGATGATGATGTAATACTTGTATTTGAGCTCCAGTTGGAATTTTTCGTTTATCTTACATTAAAGGTGGCTTTAGTGGCATCTAGTGGTGAGGTCGCAGATTGCAACCAACTGAATCACCCTCCCTCACCTCTCCCTCTCCAAGTGTGTAGTAGAACCTACAGTTTTTTTTGACGATGAGGATTCACTTTCTCTTGCTTTTTCTTGTGCTAAATAATAAGTGAGATCCACTGTTTGTCAAAATTTAGGTTCTCAAACTTCTCACAACACAAAATTGTTAGCCAGCACCAGCAGCAACCACTGACTCTTCTGATTTGTACATCTTCCAACCGGAGCTACAGCGCCTCCAAATTCCAGCTGCCGCTAAAGCACTTGATAGGCGCTCTCTAGAGCTGGTGTTTGGTTTGTCTGTTCTGGGCTACTGCAGAAACATGGTGGCGCAACATGGTGGCCTGTTGGAAGAGGACCCGCCCCCTATGTAAATATGAAGGGCTCATTCTAAGCGAACAGAAACACAATGATTCGTAGTTACAGGTAATTATATGCTAATTAAAACATGGTTTTGTATACTATATTCCTTTTCTGCTAATAGATCTTAGACACTGCATCTTTAAAGTGCTTTATTTCAACAAACACTAGTATCTGACCACTAAAAGCACTAGAATGCAAACTGGAAAAAATATTGTAATGTTCAGTTGCTATTGTAAAAAATTATGACTTTTAGTTTAGTTTTTTGTCAAGTTAAGATTAGCTAGTTCAGAATCTAGCACTATTATAGGCTGTGTTTTACAGTAATTTCATTACAGTTAAGGGTGTTATTAGGCACAATGCAGAACAGTTTATATGACAGTGCTAACTTCCTTAGTGCCACTATGCATATTGTTTCAAGTCTTAGCACTATTAGTGCACTA